TCTTCTTCCCCATCAAAATTTCCAGGATCTGACAAACAGCCTACTATCAACAAACAATCTAGATGTGAACTCATCTTTGAATGTCAGAATTTGAGAAATTGACCCTTGTTTGAGGAAGTATATATTTAATTATAGATAGTCTGTATCATACATTTTAAATCATTCTTCATTACCTTCTGTGTTCACTCCTTTTTTTTTTACTTGAGTCTCACTGTGTCACCCAGGCTAGAGTGCAAGGCCATCATCATAGCTCACTGCAACCTCAAGCTCCCTGAGCTCAAGTGATCCTCCTGCCTCAGCCTCCCAAGTAGCTGGGACCACAGGTGTGCACCACCACGCCCGGCCAACGTTTTTGCTATTATTTGTAGAGACAGGGTTCGCTCTTGCTCAGGCTGGTTATGTTCACTCTTAAATGTATCTTAATTAACCTCATCTCCTTCAATCAGATTGTTAAAACCCGCAGGTAGGAGTTTTATGATATATTTTTTTGTTTCCTTTACAAAATATAGTATTTCAGTAATAGAAAAATAGTTGATTAAGATCAATGTGCACAAGCTCCATTGGTGGACCACTTTGTTCCAGGTAGAAAGGATGTCTGTGTGCCAGGCACTATGATAGCTGACAGGGCACGAAAGTTAAATAGAACCCTGATCCATGTGGAATAGAAAGAAGATAGAGAGCACCTACTAAGGACCAAAAACTGTGCTACACACATTTCATCATTATTGCATTTTACTCCCAGACAATCCTATAAGGTAAGGATTATTAGTTTCATTTTATAAGAAAACTTAGGCCCAGAGAGGCCTTTCCCTAGAAAATAAAAGCCGAAACTCAAACCCAATCTTTCTGCCCCCATTTTGCCTATAAACAAGTAAACAAAATACAATTACAAAACAACTCAGTTTTCATTGGAGAAGATACACTTGTCCTTTTGGGAGTCCTCAGAACAAAAGGATGATGTTTTCCCTTATGATTAATTCAGAGAATAGAGCAAAAACTCCCTAGTTTAGTCCTGGTGGATACCACAATGAAATTAGGCAAAACTAAGGCAGGAGTGGTTGTGTCTTATCAGGTAGAACTCTGTCTAAGTCACATCCCTGTCCAGATGTGAAATAGGACCAACCCCACAGAGGTGCCTCTGGACAGCTTGTGGCCCACCTTGCTGTGCTGTGGTGGAGAGCCACAAGCTCAGACGCCATCTAGTGGCATATCTCCAGCTTTACAACAGGGTTCAAAAAAGATTTGGTGGCAGCATGCCTTCATGATCCACAGAGACCCAGGATTCAGAGTCAGATGCAGTGCGTTCTGAATCCCAGGCCAGAACCATCATAGCATCCCAAAAGACATTCACATTGCATCATGTGTTTTTGAGCTGCTCTCTCAGCTATCTCCTTTTTTGGGTTTGCATGTCTTACCTCTTTTGTATTTCCATTCATGTTAGTTACAAGTGGAGGGAAAAAAAAACAAAAAACCTCACTGAATCAATCTTGGTCAACCACACACACACACACACACACACACACACACACACCACATCTATTGGTAGGGTCATTCATTACAGAGCCTCTCCAGGGGAACTTCTCCTAAATACAAGATCTAAGTGGGCAAAATCCAACATCCTGGGAAGGCAAGTGGGGAGGGTCACCAAGGAGAAAAATGCTCTCCTTGAAAAAGGAAGCCCTACAAACAGCCTAGGACACGGGGGCATCCTTAGCAGTTTCAGGGGGTTCAAGGTCCACCTTTAGGGCCTCCCTCCAGCTCTCCTCCCTCTCTCTTTGCCTGGTGCCACCACCTGTCACACCTCTGCCACCACCTGTCACACCTCTGGCCCTACCTTCCAACAGCAGCAGGCAGTTGTGCAGAAGTGGAAGAAGGGAAGCAGGTGGCTTCTACAGTCCAGAAATGCAGGCTGGGCTTCAGGGTCAGAGGTGACAGAGAGCCTGCATAGCATCCCAGAGAACCTTCTCTGAATACAACTGCAGGCTGAAGAGTTCTCCGAGCTCATACTGACTTTTTGTACTTGAGTCACCCAATTAAGTCATTCATTATATAAGTCATTCATTATCTATTCTATGGATACACATACTTTTAATTAAAAATATATTTCCATTTTAGGGTTTGTGGGAGCCAGAATAATCCTTCTATTCACCCCCAAAGATGTCCATGTCCTTTTCCCTGCAATCTGTGAATACGTTACCTTATATAGCAAAAGGGATTTTACAGATGGGATTAAGGTTAAGGACCTTGAGATGGCCAGATTAGCTTGGATTATCCAGGTGGGCCTGATGTAATCACATTAGTCCTTTAACATCAGACTCTGGTCAAAGAGAGATTTGATATTGGTGGCTTTGAGGGGGGGGCTATGCATGAACCAAGAAATGTGGGTGGCCTCTGAAAGCTAAAAGTGTCAAGGAAACAGATCCTCCCACCCCAAGAGCTTTTAGAAAAGAATGCAGCTCTATTACTAGTGAGACCATAGTAGGACCATGTCTACAGAACTGGAAGATAATAAATTTGCATTGCTTTAAGGCAATAAATCTGCAACAGTTTGTTAGAGATGCAATAAAAGCTATTAAAAGAGGTCTCCCTTAGGCTTTAAGATCACAAAGTCTCATTTAACATCAAAGCAAGAACTGCCTAGATTCAGAGACTGCATTCTGATAGGGGTCATATTTTTTTGTTTCAGGACCTGGAGGAAAGGCATAGTTTCTGCTAATAATTTATTTTGCTTATTTTTTTTCCAAAAAATTTAGGGGGTACAAGTATTTTTTGTTAGTTTATAAATTGTGTCATACTGAAGTCAGGGCTTTCAGTGCACTGGTCACCAGAATAAGTTATGTCAGAAACCAAAAGACCTACTCTGTTGATCTAATGGGGTTAGTTGTAGTTCTCTGGCCACCAATGCATATCTTTAGGCTCTTCAAAGAGTTCTGAGCCCTTAGGCTTTTGGAGACAGCTTCTATGCCCCTTATGATTAATGTGGACACATTGAAGAGAGAGATGCATGAATATGTTGTGCAGAAAGGGCACACCCCTAAGAAATACACACTGAACCATAAAGTTACCCACACCTACTTAATGCAGTAATTCCATTCTTGGGAAGTTATTCTAAGAAACTAATTGCAAAGGTGCTAATTGACATATGCATGGACATTTTTATGATAATATTACCTACAACAATAAAAACAACAAAGAAACAGTCAAAATCCAACTAAAGGAAATTTTTAATAAATTATGATTCTGTGCCTTTATAGAAACATTAAAAAATACCATTGTTTATCCTATGGAAACATAGAGAAATGTTCCTATTATGCTAAAAGAAAACAGCATATTATAAAATAGCATTCAATTGATAATCATTTATTGCCCACATGCTACATATCAGGTATTGTATTAAGCACCAAGTGATGCAAGTGTGCCAAAATAGATCGACCCGCTGTCTGTGATGGCAAAAATGTAAATCGATCTATTCATGTAGTAGGTGATACACCAAAAAAAGAAGCAAGTCGTTTTGTTAGGGCATGATAAATATTCCACTTAACTTTCTTACCTTTTCACTTAGAAAGTATAGAGCAGGAAGAAACATAGACCTCTTGATCCAAGTCATGAGACAGAACAGGTGGCAGCAGTCTCCTTGCTAAGGAAGCAGGGACTGAATGTATTGTTTAGAAACATGACCAACAACAGCCACTTCCCTAGCAGGGAGCAGGAAGCCAGCTGTACACACAGGTCACTCCCAGGTAGGGTCAGTTTGGGAGGCCACTTTTGTGCCTAAACTAACACCCACTGTGTATTTGTAAACTGTCAATGGGCTAAACATGGCCCTGAGGGACAGCAACACCTGTCTCTACCTGTCTCCCCAGGCACTGAGAGGTTAACTGTGAAAGCGGATGCATTACACTCATTGTTATGATGCTGCTGCCTGTATGGGGCGAGCCACATACACTGGGCCCCCATTTTCCCGTGTGAACAAGGGAAGTCTGAGTTTGCTAGTCCCTAAAGCTCTCTGTCCTTAAGCCACACTCTCCACCACCACCACCACCTCACCTCTAGCCTTTTCTACTGAGCTCTGGGGCCAGCCCACACCATCAAGCCACAGCAGAGGCTTCCACAGGTCAAGGCCACCATTCTTGCAGTAGCTACACGGCTGCTTCAAGGGCACAGGACCTGCACAGCCGTCACAGATGGCTGGCATTTAGAAAAGCCCCGTGTTTGGTTTAGTACTCTGCTGTTACTGTCTTGAAATTCTCAATAATTTTTGAACAGGGAGTCTCAAGTTTTCGTTTTGCACTGAGCCAGCAAGTTGTGTAGCTGGTCCTAGGTAGTCATGTACTCTTGGGAGATGTGTGAGTCTCAGGCTGGGGGTGGGGCAGGACGGGGTTGAGGGATGCTCTCCCGGTCCTCAGTCTCTTCAGGTCTCCTCTCCCGCACCCTGGGGTAGCAGCTGCTTTCCTGCACCTGCTTCTTCTAAACCCCTTAGTGAAACTCTTTTACTGCTTTTACTTCTACTAGCTAACAAGCCTTCAAATTAAATTTTCCCCGTTCAAATAACCTATAGGCTGTTTGCCTCCCAACTGATGTGTCAATGCACACAGGTATGAAAGTAATGCACGGTCTTGGAACAAACAGTAAACTAACTAAATAAGTAAAATATATAGTATGTAAGATGGTGATTTGCAATACAGGGAAAAAACAAAGCATAGAATGGGGCCCAGACCCAGAGAATGTGCCTATGGTTTGGGATCAAAGGGGACAGCTTGCGATTTTAAACAAGTGGGGATCACAGAAGATATCACAGAGAAAGATGTTGTATGGAGAAGCCACATTGGACTCCCCCTTCCCCAATTCTAACTGAAATGACGGGAAAACGCAAAAATAAGGTTCAACCTGCAGTATCCATGTGGAAAATGTGCCGGCCAATTCGAAAAACTCTCAAGTATTTCCTGCTAGTCACACAAGTCACTTGGGATCAGAATATTGTGAGGAAAGATAAAGCTTACCTCTGGATCTCCCACTGCTTTCTCTCCCTTTTCTGTTCCCAATTTTCAGTGGCTTTGAAGGGTGGAGGAAGCCAGGAAATGACTTCTTTCACCAAGCTCCATCAATCTTCATAGAAATCTCCCTCTGATCCAAAAAGAAAGTAATATCATTCATTCATTCATTCATTCATTTACCAATCACTTAGCAAACATGCTCCAAGTACCTCCTATCTGCCAACCTTTGTGCTAAGCACTGTGGAGGGTACAGAGTTGAATACATAGTCCCTGTTTCAAAGAGAGAACTTAGAGTCTAAAGGGAGAGATGATAAGGGAGGTAAGATGTACACCAATAACTCTTATTCAAAGCTAAGAAGGATAATGAGTTTGCTGGATAATGAAATATAAATTCCAAAGACTCTGACAGATGAGGCTACTAGCTTCACAATATAATTCAATTCAGTTCAAGTAGACATTATTGAGCCTCTATGCTAAAAAATACAACATGGATTTCAAGCAGGAAGTAGTTTGGAGACAGGACAAAAGTAGAAGGATCTCTGCAGAAGAGTGAAACCTATGCCTGCCTGTGCAGGGTGAGGGAGCTAGAGTGTTTTGAGTCCTGCAGGGCATGGAAGCAACACAGCCCAGGCACACAAAACATGTTTGTTGAACTCATGTTTGCTCCAGGCTAGAGATAGAGATAAAGGAGACAGACTTTCTTGCCTGGAGAGGTTAGGATAGTACAGCTGTGGATAGTACAGCTTCTAAGGGGCAATTGAAGGATGAGGAGGAGTTTTCTAGACAGCCGGAGGAGGGGGATTTATTCCAGTCATGGGAAACATGTGTAAATGCACAGAGGCATGACAATAATTCACAATCTGGGAACAAGTGAGATGTTAAACAGGTTAGAACACAGGCAAAGAACATGGGGCTTGAAAGTTGAAAATGGCTTAGTCAAGGCCTTGGGGTGTCATGCTAAGGAGGTGAGTGTGAGGCCATCCTGTTGTATCAGAGAACATGGACTAAAAGGGGTAAAAATGTTTTCTGTCTCTTCAAAACTCCCTTTCCCTTTTTGAGAACTAAAAACTATATCCCTCCTTCAGGCCAGTGGTTGGAAAGGGCTGAAGAGTGTCCTTTGTTCTTGGTGCCAGAGGAAAAGGCTCAAGGGAATTGTCTGGGTGGAGTTCACGAGATTGTCTTAGCCTAAGAAGGGATTAGTCACAACCATCCCCTTTAAAAGTTCTGTATTTCTGCTCAGAAGCAGAACGTCCACCCAGGGATGCCAAATTCTGTTAATGAAAGTTCAGTACTTGTCCCCCTGGCCACATTAGATGAATGAGAACAAGTGGTTTAAGGAGAAGGAAAAAGTAGTTTATTAATATGCTGGCAAATGAGGAGGTTGATAGACTCCTGTCTCAAAGTACCAATGTTCTGCCTCTGAGCAGAAATACAGAGCTTTTAAAGGTCCTGATTAATCCCATAATAAGAATGTTTAATATTAATACTTCATGTCTTATGTGATTCCTTTATAGGTCAGCTTGATCACTTTGCTCTTATGAGAAAAGTTTGAAGAAAACCCTGGATTTTCATGTTGCTTTGAACAAGTCACTTTCTCATTTTGGATCTCAAGTGCTTCCTCTCCATAACAAAACACCATAAAATAAGAAAAATTCTCTTGGCCATTCCCTGCCTTAGGAATGCTGGGCTCATAAATGAGATCACATCCATAAAATGCTATGATCTCCCTAAAGACAAATGCCGTATAAATATATAGGATTATGAGCCAAGCCACTCAAAACTAGTCTGTGCATGAATGCATTGGAAGACAAACAGGGCTGAGGAAGGGCAACAGGACTCGTCATTTCCAAGGGCCACATGATTTCTTTGTTTCAAAACTTCTGGCAACTCACGGTTACCTCCTCCCAGCACTCGAACACTGTTAGCAAGGACAATTCAGTCAGGTTAGGCTCCCTGGAGTGATAAGTTAAAACATTTGGGGAGCAGAATTCCAAGCAATTGCCATGTTGGAGAGTTTTCCAGAAAGATAATTCAAAAGAAGTCATGTTTGGGTTTTAAATATTGATGATGGCTCATTTGCTCTAATACATTCATTGAGGTTCCCACATACACCATTTTAAAGAAACCTAGAGTTCAGTAAAAAAAGGAAAGGGCTTTTCTATCTTATGTTTGGTTTTATAAAAAGAAGGAGGAAGAGGAGAGTGTCTTGGTCTGTCTATGCTACTATAACAAAATAGCACAGTCTGGGTAATTTTTTTTTTTTGAAACAAAGTTTCACTTGGGCTAGATTGCAGTGGCATCATCATAGTTCATTGAACCTCAAGCCCCTAGGTTCAAGTGATCCTCCTGCCTCAGCCTCCTGAGTAGCTGGGGCTACAGGTGTGTGCACCATACCCAGGTAATTGTTCTATTTTTTGCAGATACAGGGGATCTCAAAATCCTGGCCTCAAGCCATCTTCTTGCCTCGGCCTCTCAAAGCGCTAGGATTAGGTATGAGCCACCGTGCCTGGCTGGATAATTAATAAAGAACATAAATTTATTTTCCAACAATTTTGGAGGCTGGGAAGTCCAAGATCAAGGTGCCAGCAGATCTGGTGTGCAGTGAAGGCTTGCTCCTCATAGATGGCACCATGGCAGAAGGGGCGGAAGGCCACAAAGGGGACGGATGCTGTGTCCTCACATGTGGAAGAGCAGGAGAGTGAACCCACTCCCTCCAGCTCTTTGAGAAGGGCCCTAATCCCATCAACGAGTGCTTCATCCTCATGACTCAATCACCTCCTAAGAGGCCCACTTCTCAATACTATCACACTGGCCATTAAGTTTCCACACATGAATTCTGAGGGACACATTCAGACCACAGAAGAGAGGGAATGAAGGAGAGAGAAAGCAGAGGAATTTGTTTCCAGTCTAATCTTTTGCCTCTTAGGAATCATGGATTTTAAACCTTGGTTGGACCTTAGAGTTCAGCTTAACCACCTCTCCTCACCCCTCTTCCTTTTAAAAATTATAGATGGGTGGTGAGGACCAGTGAGGTAAACTGCATTTTCTAAGCTTACACTGTCAATTAGTAGCATAACAGATGCTAGGATTCAGGTTTCCTGCTTCCTAGTTTGATTCTTTTCACATTCAATCATCCTGATTCCCATTTGGTTTTATGATCTTGTGCAAGTCACTCAACTAGCCAACACATATTTTTAAAGACCTAAAAATAAGTAATGAAATATCCATCCAAAAGAAATTTAAACAGACATTTTAAATTTAAACAGACAATTTAAATTTTAAATAATAAATGTTTGCTACACAAACATTTATTTTTCTCTCATAACAAGAAGTTAAGCACAGTAACTGGTGTTAATTCAGTGGTTTCATGATACCAGGATGGACTCAAACAACTCTTATCTTTCTATTCCATCATATTTAAAGTTGGCATGTATCTCTGTGACAGTTGCCTCATGGTTGCAAGACAGCTTTTGTAGTTCCAGCTGTTACAACCTTTTGCAATATTTCATTTAATAGTTTTCAAGTCCCAGACCTGTGATGAGGTACTTTGATCTTGCAACCATGTTAGTTAGCTAGAATTCTTTTGTAGATACCTTATCAAACTAAGGAAGATTATTCTCTTTTATAGTTGATGAAGGCTTTAAAAAAATTATGAATGGATGTTGAATTTTTCCAAATGTCTTTTCTGCATTGCCTGAGATCATATGAATCATATGAATTTTCTCTTTTATTCTGTTTATGTAGTGAATGACATTGCATTTCTCAAAAAAAAATTACTGGATTTGATCTGCCTATATTTTGTTAGAAATTTTGCATTTGTGTTCGTAAGGAATGTTGGCATGTGGGTTTTTTTCTTTTAATTTCATGGTATTAAGCTTATTCTGACTTTATATCATGAATTAGAAAGTGTTCCTTTATCCTTCGTTTCTCCTAAAGAGTTTATGTGTGATTGATATTGTTTCTTTCTTAAATGATTGCAGAGGTTTACTAGTGAAGCCACCTGGGCCTCGAGTTTTCATTTTGGGACCTTAAAGATATGGGGCTATTCTGATGTTTTATTTCCTCTTGTTCCAGGGAAGTTGTATTTTTCAAGGACATTTTCCATTTCATATAAATTATTAAAATTATCAGCATAAAATTGTTCAATATGTTTTCTTATTATTCTATCAACTTACATAAATCTGTAAGGGTATTCCTCTTTTATTCTTGATATTTAGTTATTTGTGTTTTCTTTTTTCCTGACTGATCTCACTAGCAGTTTTATCAATTTTATTAATATTTTCAAAGAACCAACTTGTGGCTTTGTTATTGTTGTCTAACATTATTTTTTATTATTTTTTCCTTCACTTTGGCTTTAATTTGCTTTCTTATTCTAATTTTGTAAAGTAGAAATTTAGATAACTTATTTTAAATCTTTTTCCTTTACTAAAATAAGCTTTTAAAGTTATACATTTCTTGCTAAGTACTTTAGCTGCATACCACAAGTTTTTATGTATTTTCACCATCATTCTGTTTGAAATGTTTTCTAATACTCTTAGAGCTATGCCTGACATAAAGTACATAGCAAGTGTTACCTCCTGTCAGCTCTGGTTTTTGCTTCTCTTGTTCATAAGTGAATGTAGTCCCTTCACAGCCTCTTGGTTGTTCCCACTGACTGAAATTTCTCCTTCATAGAAGCCCAGATTTCATCCTTCTAGTAAATTCCCATTTATCCTACAGGTGTAACCTCAAACATCACTTCCTCAAAGAAGCTTTCCCTAATGACACAGACCAGGATGGTCCTCTTCATGTACTGGGTTGAATAGTGTCCCCTAAAAGTTCATGTCTACCCAGAACCTGTGACTGTGACCTTATCTAGAAATAGGGTTTTTGCAGATATAATCAAGTTAAGAGCCGATCATACTGGATTAGGATGGGCCTTAAATCCAATATGACTGATGTTCTTATAAAAAGAGAGAAACTTGGGCACAGAAACACAGACACACAGAGATAACATCATGAGACAACAGAGGCAGAGATTACAGTGATGCACCTACAAGCCGAGGAAGGCCAAGGATTGCTGGCAACCACTAGAAGCTAAGAAGAGACCAAAAAGGCTCCTTCCCTAGAGTCTTTAGGGAGAGCATGGCCCTCTGGCACCTTGACTTCAGGCTTCTAAACTATACAACTGGAAGACAATAAATTTCTCTTGCTTTAAGCCACCTCGTTTAGGAAAATTGTTACAGCAGCTCTAAGAAACTAATACATCATGCTGCATGTTTTCATATGTTCCTGTATTTTTCTTTCCTAGCTCTTATCAGAAAATTATTACACATGAATTATCAGGAAAATGGGTGGCAGAATAACACATACTAGTCTAGCATTTTACTAGAGGCTTCCTTAAAAGAGACTACCATGATCCAAACCAGTATCTCAAATGGTGAGGATTTTGACAGACAGATAATTTTGAGGGAGCCTGGCCCCCAAATCACAGCATGTCAAGGCCAATTATGCTTCTTAATGCTGGCCTTGGGTCACAGGGTTTTTTAATGTGTAAATTATCCAAACTGGTATTTTTTTTGTAGCAACGGATTTCCAAAACAGAGTCCTGATGTACAAGTCAGAAACTCTGGTTCTGCTCCCCCCTCTGTCTCCAGAGGGTCTTGACCAGGTCACTCAACCTCTCCGGGTTCCAGGCTCCCTAACTGTAAAAGCGGGTCCTTGGGACGAGACAGTTTCTACCGTCTCTTTGGCTCTAACCTTCTGTGGCTTCACAATTTCTTGCATGAACCATAGCTGAATCCAGGGGTGTAGCAGTAGCAGGAGGAGGAGGTCACATTGGTGCTGGACCAAGAAGGATTCTGCCTTAAAATGTAGAACTGCCAGTTCTATCTGAGCTTGATTTACTTGGCAGATGGAACGGAGTAGATGCTTCTTGGGATCTTGTTTTAAAAAGGAGCTGGTCACTTCCGATCGCTGGGCCACAGTGTACTCACCTATATAAAACAGAGAAGGACGAGATCTGCGATTCCCAAGGTCCCTTCGGCTGTCTAGCGTACAAAGCTGTGACTACAAGGCGGTTCACTGCTAAGCTAGAGAGAGGGGCCTTGAGCTCAGTACAGGCCGTGGGGTCAATCTCGGGAACTGGGCTCCTCACGTTATTTCTTCTCATAATCGTTGCGTGTGTGTCTGGGGGCGACGGCAACGCTGTTTTCCTCAGAATAGTCTCTAATACATGCAATTTGGGGGCGAGAATGAAATCCTGTCTTTCTCTCGCGAATTATGTTCACTTCAACAGAGTCACTGAATAAGTTCGAGCTTCCCCTTCCTCATCTGTGAAATAGGGATAGTTACTGGCAAAGTTGTAATTCTGTCAAGAGCTGAGCAACAACGCCTCGTCCTTGTCAGGTTTTCAAGTGTTCTTTTCCATCACCCTCAGGCGCACGACGGAAAGATAAACTGAGGTATCAAACGCACGCTGAGGCTCGCTGTCGAGCAGACGGGCTCGGGCCAGCGGGAAACACGACACAGTACGGGGTACTCTGGCTACGCCACTTCCACAGCTCGCGACCCTGAGGCTGAGCGGTGCCCGGGTGGGCGGGCGGAGGAGCCCAGCCATGGAACGCCAATCATTTTGGCAAGGCCCCGCCCCTCGCCGTGCGCGCTCCCGACACCAGCGTGCGCGCTCCGGGCTGAGACGCGACGCCGGCGGGGGCCGGGCGCGGATGCGGCTCCCGGAAAGGAGCGGAACCTCCAGGAAGCCGGGGGACCCCTCGCTGCCTCGCCGCCGTGGCCGGGATGCCGCCCGCTCGCGGCGCCCCGCTCCCGGGAGCCCCAGCCTGCCGAGCAGGTGAGGCCGCCTTCCGTCGCGGGCGAGGGGTGGCGGGCGGCCGGTGCCGGCGGGGACAGTTGAGGCGTGGGGGACCCAGGGGTAGCGAGCGGGCCGCAGACCGGCGCACCTGCCCGGGCTCCCGCAGACTCGCCCGGGGACCCTCCGCGCGACCCGGCCTCCGCCGCTGCCCGCTCGGCCTCGCGCGCGGACCGTTCCCAGCCGCCCGGGCCTTGCGGCGACATCCGGGAGCCCCGCGGTCGGCTCCTGTGACCCGGGGTGGCAGGTGCTCGCCTCTGTGACCCGGGGTGACAGGTGTTCGTTCCCGAGCCCCCGGCAGGAAAAACCTGGCGGTCCTGCTGTCTCGCCTCCTCCAGTGACCGCGCTAGATTTTCCCTGCAGCTCGCGGTGTGGGCGGAAACGGGCCGCGGAGAAGGGCTGCTACATCCAGGACCCCGCTGGGCCTGCTGCCGCTTTAAATTATGACACTGACACGTTCAGCATCATCTTTGCATCGCTCTGCTTCTCCCAAGTTTCATGGTAGATTTCCCCTTGAAAAAAATGGAGCTAGTTGGGCGATAAAGTGATGATCACAGACAGCCGTGTTTCTCAACTTGAGCAATGCACAGTCTCCTTCTAAAGGGACAATTCTCTTATTATTTAGAATATGCCCCAGAATGCGCAAGGGTCCCCAGACCCCATTTAGGTGAACACTGATGCAGAGCATTTTCAGAGAACATTTGTCATGAAGGAGGCAAAAGAGATGCTTTATAACTCACTTTCATGCCGGAGGGTAAACTAGAGGTTACTAAAGAATTCTAAATTAGAGACTCAAATCCCAGTTTAATTTCACACTGCAGTTTTTATTGTCTTCTGCTTTGTGTGTGATGAAAATACCTAACTGACCAGCGTTGGAGAGACCTAGAATTTAAAATCATATTCTTTGTGTTATCTTACATTTCATGTTATCTTGTCTTTGTTATTAATACTTCTGTGTGATGCTAGCAGAGTTGTAAAATGGAATACTAATTTGTACAAGTAGTTTAATTATTCCTCTATTTACCTTAACATTGATTTGCCACTTGTATTTGTTGCATGTTGAATCTGTGGTTTACATTTTTCTAGCCCTAATGGGAAATGTATGATCTCAGCCCTTGTGTGTATCATCTAAGAAGGAGAGACAAAAATGAAAGTTGATCTTACGATTTATATTCTCTACATTATTTATTCAGCATGTTTATTTTAATATAGACTACCCATGAAAAAAGAGAAGATTCAAACATTAGGGTGTATAACAGGTTAAACCTTGACAAAGAAAAATATTAACCAGTACCTTGAAAGAAGTGTGCTGTTGAGAGAAGGATGTCCTGGTAGGAGGAGGTGACATTAGTAAAGGCATGAGGACAGCTTGGGTGGGAGAGAGGAAGGAGACCCACGGCACTGGAGCGAAAAGATGTTATCTGGGACTGATGAGAGAACAGGCTGGTGAGATAAGGTGGCACCAGTTGGTGGATGTAAGGTTTCAGGTGCCACACAGGAAAGTTGGTTTTGATCCATAGGTGTCCAAAAGGCTCTTCAGCTGGTCGTATTTTGAAAACCATGTTTTACAAAGAGGTGTTTGCAGTGATGTGCACAGAGAAGGCAGGAGGTGGGTGAGCCATCAGGAGATCTGTTTTGAGCTGGTAATGTCTGCTGTGGTCATCTTAGATGTGTGGGATATTTGGGGAAGCATTGACAGGACTTGATGAGTGAGAGAATATGTCAGCACAGGAGGAGGTAAAAAAAGCTGAGAACCAGGTAATCCTGGTGAACAGTGATTGGTGACACCCCTCTGAGACCTGGAGAATTTGGAAGGTGCTGTTAGTTTGCATCAAAAAATTGCAACCCCAGACTTGCACTCTTTGAGCTTGTGCTAACAGGGTTTCGATAAGCTCAGGATGTGGGACTGGACCTTGAGGAAAGTGAGAGTTGGAGATTTGGGAGACTGCATAGGTGATGCGAGAAAAATGACCAGGGAAAAAAAACCATTTAAAATGGGGACCAGAATTTTGCAAAATGAATAGTGAGAGGTGGGAAAAAGATTGATACTGAAAAATAAAATTTAAAATTTTTAATAAATATTAAAAAAATGTAGATCATAAATGCCACTACATGCATCCATCTTAAAACAAAGAAGGAATCAAGTTATTTTAATGTGTCTTGCCACAGCTTGAATTTGCCAGTCAATTGTCCCTCTTCAGAAGAACAGTCATTTCTTATAAACCTCTGCCAGCGTGGTTGAGGGCATCTCTAATTTTTTCAGGTCCTCTTTGTAGTCCTTTGATATTCAAATCATTTTTTTTCTGAAGTGCCCTTTAGATCATTTTACCTTTTCTTATTCAGAGTCCTCACTTGTCTATGATTTTTGTCTGCATGTGATTCTCCAGTTCACTAATGTCTGTTTGCTTGAATCCTGCTTTTTTCACCAGAGGAACCATTTCCCTTTGTGGTTGATTTGCATCGTTTTCACTGTTGTCCTTAGGACTGCGGTGAGAGACTGACAAAGACATTGACCCATGACCACATGGGCTTTTACTCCACTAAAGAATGTTCTGCCAAGGGGGGCCCTGCTAGCTGAAATCATCAGAGTTAATGTATCTCTCTGGTGATAGATCTAATACAATTTAGGCCTTTTAAAAATGTGGCAGTTTTGTGTAGTACTGAATTTGCCTCCCAGAGCTCTGGTGCCAAGAGTCTTAGCCTCAAGGACAATTGGAGTTTACATTTTAAGATCAAATTACTGTGTCGTTGACTGCTGGGCAATAATTGGCCATACTTTCATCAGAAGTAAAAATAATTACAATGCTTCAGGAATTTACATGCTCTCCTGTTTTTCTCTTTGCCTTTAAACAAAAGTTTTGTCACTTATAATAATATTTATTATCCTTTTGGTCAAAATCCTCACAGATCTCAAAAATCCTGAAACAAACACCAGATGAAGGAAAGTTTACTAAGTGTGTTGTGATCTTTCTCACCTTCTTTCTCACCCTTGTCCTGAAGTCCACCTCCCGCTTCCAGGAATCTTTTCCTGTTAATGCCAGCCTTCACTGTACTCTTCTCTGAGCTCTTGCAGCATGAGTCCAGGTAATTTAACAGTGCCTTTAGTTATTCTCTTGACTGTTTCCTAGGTATTAGTATTAATATCTTCTCTCTAGCAATTGGCAAACTCTATGACATTTGGAGTTGGGCTTTTGTTATTCCTTCTGTCATCTTCATAGTACTGATCACTGAATCATTTTAAAAGCCTTTCTTCTCCAAGGACAAGTTTGCCTTTAACAGTGACTTTAAGCCATTTACTAAAACTTTCTTTTCTTTGGTGATAAGTTCAGCTATCACATAACTATCATTGATTCTTTTAAATGTTCGGATTGGAATTCCTGTGTCATGAGTTTTTAAGTTAGGCTTTCTCAATATATCCAGAAGAGGATTTGATGCTGGAAATTGAAGATATCATCAGTCAAAGGTGGCTTGTTGGCCAGACGTGGTGGCTCACGCCTGTAATCCTAGCACTCTGGGAGGCCGAGGCGAGCAGACTGCTCGAGGTCAGGAGTTCAAGACCAGCCTGAGCAGGAGCGAGACTCCGTCTCTACCAAAAATAGTAAGACGTTAATTAGACAGCTAAAAATGAATAGAAAAAAATTAGCCGAGCATGGTGGCGCATTCCTTTGGTCCCAGAAACTTGAGAGGCTGAGGCAGAAGGATTGCTTGAGCCCAGGAGTTTGAGGTTGCTGTGAGCTAGGCTGACGCCATGGCACTCTAGCCCAGGCAACAAAGTGAGACTCTGTCTCAAAAAAAAAAAACCAAAAAACTACAAACGTAGCTTGTTAACAGTAGTTCTAATTATTTCTTCTGACAATAAAATTAATAACTGCCCTTTGAAAAATATAGGCATGTCTAGGCAAGAAAATAAAGATGGTCTATAACCTCATTACTCAGAAATAAAAAATCACTGTTAACATTTTGTTATAATTTGGACACCATATTAAAACTTGAACTAATTAAAGTGATTTTCCCCCCTTTTCAGGTAGGCATTACTAATACTTTTTAATGTATAATTTCTTTGTGTGTGTGTTTTATTCCCTCTGCTGGATTATAAATTCTTTAAGGGCTGGTCCATATCTGGTTCATCTTCATATCCCCCATTTCCAGCCATCTGTGAAATAAACAGTGGTTGCTTATCACTTTTGTGGCAGGCACTGGTCGCTAGGGAGACAGAAGAATAAGAGGCTGTTCCTGCCCTGTGGGGCTGGCCATGTAAGGAAAAAGTGAATCACAGTATATACTGCAGCCCACTGCTGTGATAAGCAAATGATCTGGGGATATGAGCATTGGGGAAGCTTTCACTGAGGACTCATGCTTCATCTGTGTCACAAGGAATACTTGGGAATACAACCAGTGGACCCCTCGGAGGGAGGTTCATTCTGCAAATGCTGAGGAATGTAAAGCGTTTCAGCAGTCTGCATCTTGTATATAGTATGTCTGGAGCTCAGAGTATATATAGGGCTCTATCATGGGATGAGACTAGAAGAATAGGCACTAGATCAATGCTGTCCAGAGAACTTTCTCTGATGTTGTCAGTGTTATATGTCTGCACTGGTTAATGCAGAAGCTACATGTAGTAGTTGAACACTTGAAATGTGGCCAGTGTAACCAAGGAATTCAATGTTTAATTTTATTTATTTATTTATTTATTTATTTATTTATTTATTTATTTATTTATTTTTGAGACAGGTTCTCTCTATGTTGCCCAGGCTGGAGTGCAGTGATGTGATCACAGCTCACTATAGCCTCAAACTCCCGGGCTCAAGCGATCCTCCTTCCTCAGTCTTCCAAGTAGCTGGGACTATAGGTGCGCACCACCATACCTGGTTAATTTTTTATTTTTTATAGAGACTATGTTGCCCAGGCTGGTCTCAAACTCCTGGCTGCAAGCACTCCTCCTGCCTTGGCCTCCCAAAGTGCTGGAATTATATGTGTGAGCCACTGTGCCCAGCCTAATTTTATTTAATTTTAACTACTTTAAATAGCCACATGTGGCAGATGGCTACCACACTGCACAGTTCAGGACTGGATTATGGGGGACCTCTTTTACATCCTGAGTAGTTAGAGCTTTTTCCTGAGTAAAAGAGGAAGATTGGGAGTGGGGAGTTGCCATGATTCCTGTTTGTTTTGGGCAGATCACTCTAAGATAGAGGTTCTTAACCTTTGGGGTCCCAGAATTCTGTAACTTGACTTCTTGCCAGCCCCTTTCCTGGGTCTGCAATGCCAATGAGCCTCTTGGAGCTCATGTCCTGGAGGAAGAGACACACTAGTGAAATGCAAACACACCCAGTATGTTAGAAGGCAAGGATAAGAGCGTGGATTCTCATGTTTGAATCCCATCTTTACCCTTTATTAGCTGTGTGACCTTAGACAGGTTGCTTAACCTCTCTGCCTCATCTGTAAAGTGTTATGATAATAGTCCCTACATAGTAGGTTGTTAGGAGAACTAATTATTTGTAAAGCATTTGGGGCCTGGCATATAATGAACACTCTATAAGTATTTAATTTAAAAAAGTAAACGCCAAGGAGAGAAAATAACTCAGGGAAGGGTGCTATAGAAAGGGGATCTTTGCAACTGATTGGGTGGCCAGACAAGGTGACACTTGAGTAAAGACCTAAGGGAATGAAAAAGGGAGCCATACAGATTACTTCCAGGGAGAGGGAGCAGCAAGCTCAGAGACCCTGAGACCAGCGAGTACCTGGCATGTTTGAGGACCACGAGGGATGTCAGTGTGGCTGGAGTGCCATGAAAGTGTAGAGTAGACAGTGAGGTTGGAAACTTAACAGGTGCCAAATCCTATAGGACTGCGTAGGTCAGAGTGAGCCTTTGGAGGGTTTTGCTTGCAGGAGTAATGCAGTCAGGGTCCTGAGTGGGGAGGTGGTGGGTGGCAACTTCCCAGGAAGAGTCTGTGCCTGTGGGTGGTGGAGGGAGCATTGGGTTGAGACTATAGGAAGAAGACTGGTTAGGCTGCTGTTTTGATAAAGCAGGCAAGAAATAAGAACCTGACCTTAGACAAAGATGAGAAAGAAAGGGACAGCTTTTAGATAAGTAAGCCAAGGTTCAACAAATATAGAAGAAATCCTAAGAAATTGGCTATGGAAGATTACAGGAGGAGTCAGTCATGACTCTAGTTTCTGATTTGAGCTGCTTTGTGGAATCCAGATTGGGACTGCAGGGGAGCAGGCTGGGAGAAGAGCAGGTGAGGATTGCAGCTTAGGAGTTCAGTTTTAGAAATGTTTCTCATGGTCCTACGTAACATCCAGATGGAGAATATCTCATAGGCGGTTGAAAATGCACATTGTAGCTCAGAAGCCTGGGGTGGGGAAAGAAGTTTTTGAGTTATCTGTTAATGGACGCAGTAATGAGGCTGACCAGAAACAGTGACTGCACTTAGAGGGAATGAGCCTCGACAGAGAGAACATACGAGCAGTTGGGGTTGGCAGAGAGCAAGGAGTCTCAAAGGATTCTGAGAGGAGTAGTTCCTGAGCAAATAAGAAGACTAGAGACGACAGCTGTCTTGAGAGGTAAAGCAGCTCCCAAGACCTGGGAAAGAGAGAGACCATTCATCCTTTGGCTCTGGCAGGTCAGAAGCAGTTCCTGGGCCGGACGCGGTGGTTCACACCTGTAATCCTAGCACTCTGGGAGGCCAAAGCAGGCGGATTGCTTGAGATCAGGAGTTCGAAACCAGCCTGAGCAAGAGCGAGCCCGTCTCTACTATAAATAAAAAGAAATTAATTGGCCAACTAACATATATAGAAAAAAATTAACCGGGCATGGTGGCGCATGCCTGTAGTCCCAGCTACTCGGGAGGCTGAGGCAGCAGGATTGCTTGAGCTCAGGAGTTTGAGGTTGCTGTGAGCTAGGCTGACGCCACACGGCACTCACTCTAGCCTGGGCAACAAAGCGAGACTGTGTCTCAGGAAAAAAAAAAAAGAAGCAGTTCCTGGTTGTAGGGCCTCTGTCTTCTCCAAGATTTGAGGTCTGGAGGCTGGAAGAGGAGCAATAATGGTGAAGGGGACAGAGAACTAACTAGAGACATAGGGCTTTGCATGATATTTTGAATATAAAAGAGAAGTCCAGTAGGTATTTGTCAAATGCATGGGTATTTAAAATTCCCATTCAGCTAATCATTCTGTCTGCCTCTGACCTCCACTCTAAATCTTCCCTGTACCATAATGCATCTAAGGCCTGTTTGACATCCTGATATTTTGGGATCACTGAGATGCTTTTGGTTGGAGAGCACTAACTAGTGCCGGACTATTATCATCTCTTTTGATTTAGGTCTATATCTCTGACAGCATGAAGTTAACTTACAAGTGTGTTGCTCAAAATAAACTCTTCCAACAGTTTCAGCACAAGGATCATGTACCAGATTGTGTGGGTGGGTTTAAGCAAGCACACTTGATAACATTGGCCAGGCAGTGGCAGTGGCTCATGCCTATAATCCTAGCACTTTGGGAGGATTGCTTGAGGCCAGGAGTTTGAGACCAGCCTGGGAACATAGACCCCATCTCTACAAAAAAATAGAACAGTTGGCCAGGTGTGGTGGCTCACGCCTGTAATCCCAGCACTGTGGGAGGCCAAGGCAGGAGGATCACTTGAACTCAGGAATTCGAGACCAGGCTGAGCAAGAGTGAGACTCCATCTCAACTGAAAATAGATAACTTAGCCAGGCTTCATGGTGCACACCTGTAGTCCCAGCTACAGGTGGGACTCTGGGAGGCTGAGGCAGGAGGATTGCTTGAGTCCAGGAGTTGGAGGTTGCAGTGAGCTGTGATGATACTACTGCACTCTAGCCTGAGTAAAATGCTGTCTCAAATAAAAAAGAAGATAGACATTTTCTTTGTGCTGTCTTTGAGATTTTTCTCACTTTGTGATTTTTCTCACTGAAACAGGAGGACTCTAACTCCTTGAGGACCCCTGCATTGTTTCTGTAATTGTGTGTGAGAAGGACTGACTCCCAGGACATTGGTTGGTCCCTGACCTTTCAGTATGGGGAGGTGAGTGATGAGCCCAGTCACTGGCATGGTAAAACCTGAGATTTTGGTGCTGCAAAAACAGATCTTGGGAGGAAAAAGAAATCTAACTCCCAAGGGAAAAGTGTTTGAAGTTGTACTACACTTCTGTTTAACACTTTTATTCTGCCAGGGCCCAGGGGTTTCTTCAGGGGTTAGTGTAGTTTATAGTCAAGGCATGCATGCTGGGTTCTGCAGGGCGGTTATATTAAGCACAGAATAATGGTAGTCTCTGAGGTGTGGGGAGGAGGAGCATAAATGCCTAAATGCCATGTGGAATGGTTTAAGAACCCCTATGGAGGCTAGAAACTACAAGTAGAATTTTCCATTGAGTTAGCAAGATACCTTCACCTTTGGTGAAGTATTTTAGTCTAGGAAGCACTCTAGAAGTTAACTATAAAACAATAAAATTCATCCCAAAGGTTTTTTTTAAAAGCCTAATAATAGTTCTAGAATGAGCCTCCCATTCTTGACATAAACAAAAGAAAGATTTCTGTTATTTGTAAAAAATATTTCATAGGAATATTTCTAAAAAACACAGAACATACTAATACTAAATGCATTTATTGACTTTGTTATGGAGATGTTGTTAAAGATACTATTTTCTCCTGTTGTCTGGGAGAAATGTACCTTGGAATTCAGTGTTAGGAAGATTTACTCGTCCTGAGCTCTTCATAGGTTTCTAAAGTGATAGACAATGTTTTAGCCTACATGGTGCTCAATGGTATTTGCAAGCCTACTTTTCAGCATGCATTTCCACATACCAAGTTTTCTTTTGGTTTCATCATTCTTAAACCTGATTTTATTATCAATTTATATATTTACCTTATTGAACTTATTCTCATAAGCTGTCTCTAATTCTTTTTAGGACAAAGCAGGGTAAAATAAAAATCTACATAATGCTCTCAGGAAAACTAGAAAACAGGAGTGCCCTAGCCATCAGGGCCTAATTCTCATTCACATAATTTTATAATAATGGATTCTGTAGCAAAATAAGTAGTGTAATATGAAAGATGCTAGTATACAAATACTTATAGGGAGGGAATAGGGGTAGCTCCAGCTGAATATCTTATTATAGGATCAGTTTAGGTGAGGGGAGGCCTCTTTGGAACAGATCGCTTTAAAAATCTGTTTTTTTGGAATTTCAGGATCGGCATCTCGTGTCTTTTTCCTGCTTCTTGGCATTTTAGCATCTCTCCAGTGGGGTGTCCTCGAATTCTGAATACCAATTTACGCCAAATTATTGTCATTAGTGTTCTGGCTGCTGCTGTTTCACTTTTATACTTTTCTGTTGTCATAATCCGAAATAAGTATGGGCGGCTATCCAGAGACAAGAAATTTCAAAGGTAAGAAATAAAAACATTTCTTTTCTAGATGAGATGCCATACCTTCTGATTTATCTGATTCAGGCTGCTATAACAGAATACCATAGACTGAGTGGCTTATAAACAATAGAAATTTATTTCTCACAGTTCTAGAGGTTGGGAAGTCAAGTGCTGGCAAGATTTTGTGTCTGGTGAGGGCCTGTTTCCTGTTTCATAGATGGCATCTTTTTCACTGTGTCCTCACTGGCTGGAAAGGTGCGAGGAAGCTCTCTGAAGTCTCTGTCCTCACGATCTAATCAACCCCAGAGGCCCTCACCTCCTAATAGCATCACATAGGTGATTACATCCTCAACAGTGAATTTTGGAGGGACACAAACTTTCAGACCAGAGTACTTTCCTTTGATGGCTTCAAGACGTTTAGGGCCAAGTTGGAATTTAAGGAGCATGTGACTGTAGGAACTGGATTCTGTACTGTGTGCAACCTGGCATGAAAAATTTAACTGTTTCAAACTAGTTAACTACTGACCACCAAATTCATATCATAAGAGGCTCTGGAATAATTATTTACACATAAGCTTCTCCCGTAATATGTTTTAAGCTGATTTTTAGTTAATATTGGTAGTTTGGAAAATAGAGGTTTGCTTTTTGGAACTTGTCTGAACTTCTGTAAATGAATAACAAATGTGTATGTATCTGAAGATGAACCTTATCACCATCATTTGTTTTGTGTTCTTTTGACTCTTTATTCATTTGGCAGTTATAAAAATGTTATAGGCCGGGCGCGGTGGCTCACGCCTGTAATCCTAGCTCTCTGGGAGGCTGAGGCGGGCGGATTGCTCGAGGTCAAGAGTTCGAAACCAGCCTGAGCAAGAGCGAGACCCCGTCTCTACTATAAATAGAAAGAAATTAATTGGCCAACTAATATATACAAAAAATTAGCTGGGCATGGTGGCGAATGCCTGTAGTCCCAGCTACTTGGGAGGCTGAGGCAGGAGGATTGCTTGAGCCAGGAGTTTGAGGTTGCTGTGAGCTAGGCTGTCGCCACGGCACTCACTCTAGCCTGGGCAACAAAGCGAGACTCTGTCTCAAAAAAAAAAAAAAATGTTATAGTGTTGCTACCACACAGCTTAGAAATCACTGATTTGTTATTTGTTTATTGAATTATCTCTGTTAGATTTAGGATGATATTCTCTAAATAAAAACATATATGTTTTTCCACACAAGGTACCTGGCACGAGTTACTGACATTGAAGCTACAGACACCAATAACCCCAATGTAAACTACGGGATTGTGGTAGACTGTGGTAGCAGTGGGTCTCGAATATTTGTCTACTGCTGGCCCAGGCATAACGGCAATCCACATGATCTGCTGGATATCAGGCAAATGAGGGATAAAAACCGAAAGCCAGTGGTCATGAAAATAAAACCCGGTATGTAAATGAGAACATCTGCCTGTGACTAGGCTGTGTCCTGTCACTCTCTGTGGTGTCCTACACACCCTTCTCCTTCATCATTGTCATCACTCTCCTTCAAGCTCAGGCCATGACCTGTTGGATCTCCTTGTGTCACTTTCTTTTCCCTTTTCTGTCTGTTTGGCATAGGGTGACTAGCACCTTGATAAAACATCCAGAAACCTTATCTTTTTGTCTCTGATAGCATTTGTCATAGTGCCTTACTCAAGTGTTTGCTAGGTGACCTTCAGCAGGGAGAGATTTTCCTGTTTAGTAGCCACTGGTCTCTTTTTAATGCCGAGGTAATTTCAGATAACCCCTGAAAATCTGTACTTTGATATATTGGGAGTAATTTTTAAAAATTGTTGCCCAAATATATTTCTAATCATATAGATTATTTAATAAGGGTGATCCTAGAACCTACAGCTAAGATAATTATTCCAGTTTATAAAGCTGTTACAATTTCTAAGTCAGTGTGTGATGTATGAATTGAGATTTGGCTTCCCCAGTAGATAGCTTAAAGTAGTGGTTCTCAGCCTCTTTCTGTATCATCACAGGAGCATTGGGAACAGAAGATACCAGGAGCACCTTGACACAAGCTTCATACATCTTGATAGTTGGTAATCACTGATTTCAATCAGTGTACCATAGATCTTAATAGAGATACAGCAATTTAATTTCATTTTACTAATGTATTAAATAGTAAAATATTAAATCCAAATAATACAAGAAATTTATCTTTTAAAATATTAGATAATACTGATAAATAATAATTCTCATAGTTTATTATCCCCATTTCAGAAACACGAGTAAAAGGGATATTCAGTTTAACATGATCAAATAAATGTCTTCATAAAACGACATGAAATGTGGACTCCTTGAGCCTATCATTCTTCACTGAGTAGTTCAGACCCCACCTCCTTCTTTAGGCAACCCTCAACAAGCTGATTGATTGCTCTTTCATGTTTGCAGCTGACTACTACTAGCATATTACCCAAAAAATTCAAAATCTCTACCTTATTTTTCAGTTCAAAGAGAGAGAACCTAATCTGAGTCTATATATAAGCATTATTTTGTTGTTAGAGTACATTTCCATGAACAAAGGTTAATTTTTCTTTAAATCTTAGTGAATGCCTTTTAAATTTTAGTTTTCTATTTTCCTACTCATTAAATTTTTATGTGTCCCTAATTTTAGAAACATTTTCAGGGTTAAAGTAATATTGATCAAATAAAAAATTCACAAGAAGGCTACAAAATAAAAGAATAAAGCACTTCACATTTTGTCTGGCTTAACATACCAGGTTCTGTCAGTGATTAAGCTGGTTTTTTTGAATAATATGAAAACTACCATGCCTTGGAGTTGTCCTTTGAGAATGAAGGGACAGCTACAACATTATCCCACAGTAAATACCAGAATCTTACTAAAATCAGGTTTAACATGTTTCTCTCTCACTCCATACAAAGTGTTTGAAATGGAAATCAAAATACCTTTTTATAGCACTTCTCTTAAAGCATGGTCCCCCATGTGTAGCATACAGGAAGATTCTCGATATTTCTTTAATAGATTCTGGCTAGTTTGGGCCTTGGTGGCCATTGAAATAGCATTTGGCTTCCCCAAATTGATTCCTTGATAGGAATCAAGGAAATGTGATCTTTGAAACCAGGGTGCACGAAACCAGCATGAGAGAGACGGATTTAATCCAGGATACTGGCTTGGGCCTCTGGCTGCCCAGTGCTGATGGTCACCAAGGGAGGTAACAGGCATTAGGGACAGGCTGGTAGTGACAGTGGAGTTCAGATCTGGACCTGCTGCATTTGGGGTGGCCAAAGACAAGGGCAATGTCCAGGGGACAGTCACCACACACTGACCTGGAGACCGTGACAAGCTGGGGTGGTTGCTGATATGATGTGGGCTCCGTGTTGATGGTGATGGCAGCTGTGGGAGTGTGTGAGCTGGCCCGAGGAAGGGGGACTGTGTTTCTCGAGGGCAGAAATGAGCCCTTGTGAGTGGCACTGGCACATAGCAGATGCTCCATCAGGTCTGTGTGCTTTGATGATGGAGAAGAGGGCACAGAACTGAATATTTAGTGCCACCAACATATAAGGAAGAGAGAGACAGAAGCAGTTACTAGAGGGATAGGGAAGACTAAAGAGTATAGTGCATAGCTTGGATTTCTCTAAAATTAGCTACATGGAGGAAACATGTTACCTAAAATATCCACTTGTTAACTGGAGTGTCCTATTTCTCTAGGCATTTCAGAATTTGCTACCTCTCCAGAGAAAGTCAGTGATTACATTTCTCCACTTTTGAACTTTGCTGCGGAGCATGTGCCACGGGCAAAACACAAAGAGACACCACTCTACATTCTCTGCACAGCCGGAATGAGAATCCTTCCGGAAAGGTGATCCTGCTCTGGGGGGGTGGAGGGCGCTTGTTGAGGGGGGTGGTTCTCTTTCCTCCCTGCTTCCTCCTTCCTCCTTCATCATCATCATCAAAAGGAAGACGTTCAAAATTCTTCAAATCTTGAGTAGTATCTGAAGTATTCCCTTAGCCAGAACCCACCAAATATCTTTTAATTTACTTGCTTATGACTATAAATAGTTAACTCTAAAGCTGTCATTTTTAAAAAACTAATCTATTTAATTTACTTAAGGAATGTTCACAGTGGTAATTTTACATCTAGGAATCACATAATTCACATAACTTGTTCATTTTGAGAAAGCTTTCCTAAAATAAACAATGTTTTCAACAAATTGCTTTGGTTTTAAAATTAACTGTTTCATATAGGATATACCAGAGTCATGGAGTTTTTTCTTTTCAAAACGGAAAAATTCAGGCTGTAATATTTTGATAATGTAAATGTTTGGGTTGCCTTACAGCCAGCAGAAGGCCATTCTGGAAGATCTTCTGACCGATATCCCTGTGCACTTTGACTTCCTGTTTTCTGATTCTCATGCAGAAGTAATTTCAGGGAAACAAGAAGGTTAGTATATTGGTCTTCAACTTAAATTTTGAAGCTGTTCCTTTAAGTCCTCCCCATTTTTCCCCAGTGTACACTTTATTAAATTACTCCTAATATCTTCAAATTTTGGAAATCATAGCCTTGAAATATCATAATTTTTAAATGACTGAATATAAGTTTCTTACATGACTGGTCTCTATTACCCAAATGTTAAACCATTAAAAACTATCTCAGTTTGTCTTCACCACATTTAGGAAACATATTTGGAACTCATTTTGATAGAAAAGATTTGTGTTCCTTGCCTAGCATTATGAGAATTATTGAGCTGTTGGAACCTCCTGATTTACTTGCTAGGAAGGGGAAATTCTTCTTGACTTTGATGCACTTAAAGTATTTGTTCTATTTTCAAATAAATTATTCTAGTTAAGAATGAAATGACAAGTCAGTGAAACAATTTGGGCTTAGAAACGGAGACCAAAAAAAAGTATTTATTTCAAAGTCACCTATCATTTCAGCTTATACTTCTTAGGTGAAAGGTGCTGTAGAGTACAAAACTGGGTGAAACTCACATGTTGCCATAGAGCTGCTTACAGATAAGTGAGATACACAATTTGCTGCTGTACGAGGTAGCTTTGGATGCTAGAGAAAGATAAAGAAAAAATATCACAGGAGTTCAAAAGAGGCATTTTTTTTTTCCAGCTAGGGTTCTCATGGGGAAAGTAACATTTGAACCATGCCTCAAAGGATAGTTCTAAATAGAACAGGCTTTAGCACGCTAAGGGGAGTGCTCTGGGGGAGGGATACGAAACACATTCCAACCACAAGAAAGGATTTGAGTCAAGACAGGTTGGAAAGGACGCACTGTGGACAGAGGAACAAAAAATGTTTTAGTTTGATTGGATGATGGCTCTTTTGAAAGGCGGTAGTAATGTTAAAAGTTGAATGGGTCTTGAATTGTCAGTCCAGGGGTGTGGACTGACAACTACACAACACTGTAGTTGAGAGCAGTAGCAGGAGACAGAGCAGGCTGCAGGGGAGGAACAGGCAGGAAGATGAAGTGGATGGGCCGTCACCACTTCCCTCTGTAATGGCTTTAATTTAAGTGGTGATGAAACTGGGTAAAGATAGGAGATAGGAAATGATTAGAAAATAGAATCAGTTTTGGCAACTGAATGAATGAGAAGAATAAATGAAATGAATACCTTGAATGAATGAATACCTTAAATGAATACCTTGAATTTTAAAAAACCTTGTGGTCAATGGGTTTAACTTTATAAAAAGTTAATTCTGGTATTTTGAAATAACCCATAAATTTCAAAGGAAAACTAGCACCTGGGGAATTATATTTCAACCTATGTAAATGATATAAAACTATGTCAAAAGTTGAGAGTTCTTGGTAAAGCATTAAGAAAAGATAAAAAACATCAGTAGATATATGTTAAGATGATTTCATAGAGGAGTAAAATAAATGAGATGTTTGCACAGAGTGCATTAATAAGAGTTACATAAAATATCTTAAAACTTTATTCTTCTCTTCACCCTGTGAAATGCCTATAGGTGTCTATGCTTGGATTGGCATTAATTTTGTACTTGGACGATTTGAACATATTGAAGATGGTAAGTGTCATGTTTCCAACTAATGTGTCTAACTGGAAATTAGGACTTTTCTGTTTAATCCCAAGGCTGAAAAAGGAACTAAGTTTTGTGACACTGCTGAGCGTGTGGGAGTAGAATGAGAGATGCTGCAGTTTAACACAGTTAAACTTGGTTTCAGTTAGGAGGAATAGGCTGGGTTTGCCTAAAAATGCCTGAAATGTATAATACCATGAAAACAAGGTGACTCTTGAGAAGATCCCAGTTCTCTGGCTTTGTTCTATTCCAGTAAACATTTTCTGTTCTTTCCAGACGATGAGGCAGTTGTGGAAGTTAACATTCCTGGTAGTGAAAGCAGCGAAGCCATTGTCCGTAAAAGAACAGCGGGCATTCTTGACATGGGAGGCGTGTCAACTCAGATAGCGTACGAAGTCCCCAAAACTGTAAGCTTTGCCTCCTCACAGCAGGTCATTATCTGTACAAATTTCCTTCTGTTTGGTTTGGTTTTCATTTAACATGTCTCCATCCGTTTTTGTTTTGTTTTCTGAGTCTGAACACACCTTTCCTGTGCTTGCTGAGGCTCCACCTTCTCAGCTCAGGAGAAAGACAGGAGGAACAAGGCAGACCTCAGCTGAGCTGTTGTGTTTGTTCATTGAGATCAGCTGGTTTGTTTGCTGTACTTAAGAGGTTTCCTTTGGTATATATGTAGTCACATGCTCGCGTTTTTGTTTATATTTTCCCTTGAATCACTTCTTTTCTCAACAGGTTTTATAAATCGTAATATAATAGCATCAGATTTTTGAAGTTATAATTGGGGACAGTCCTTTGTTTAATGGCTCAGACAGCTTTTGAACTTTCCTGGGGAGGATTAAGGTTTTGTGTCCACTCCCTCCATGTTTCTGAACTTGTGGTTCTCTCGATATTTTCTCCACTCCTTCACTGCTCTCTCAGTCGCTGCCTGGAAGTTTCTCAGTAGGCTGGGTGGCCCTATCCAGAGAACCACAGCACAGCTTCCAGTTGGGTTCCTGCACTGCTACATGTCTGTATTACTCTGTTTCTGTTCAGCCATAAATTAACACCAATGCCCTGCCCCCTGCATTTTCCCCAGAAGTTGGGGAGGCAGTGTCATGTGATGGTTACAAGTGAGGCCCTGGACCTGAACAACCCTAGGTTGCATCATTTTCCTGTCCTTACTAGTTGTGGGACCTTATGCAAATCACGGAACTTCTGTGAGCCAGTTGCTTCATCTGTGAATCTGAATGAATATACCTACAACATGGGTTATTATAAGGTTTAAGTGAGGCAATGCATATACTATATCTAATGTGCTGGTAGTAAGTATTATTGAGGCCTTAATTAAGCTTCTTGGAAAAATGCATTGTAAATTCAAGTATTACAATTTTTGTTTCCTACTTCCCATTCCAGACATGCCTCTAGAAACTATTATACTCTTTGTAAAACATTATGTTTTCCCCCTTCAACATAAAATAAAAATAAATACATGAAAGATGTTTAGGAAAGACCAATATAGCCAAATTAAAAATCTCCATGGACTCATCCATAAAAACCATTGTTAGTGTTTTGGTGAATTTCTTTTCGTTCTTTTTTAATTATAGTTTTTAAAAATATAGTTGTTATAATTTTACTTTTATATGATTTTATGTCCTTTAATAGTACGTGAGCATGTTCCTTATTGATTATCATAATTAACTTAAACTTCCTTTGGTATTTACATGACATCCAGGTTTTTATGTTATAGAATTACAAAGGACATCTTTGTATATAGATACTTTTCTGTGTTTAGGTTTATGTCCATAGCATAAGAGCCCATAAATAGATTTACTAGGTCAAATGTTATGAACTATATTGCTGAATTCCTTTTCTGAAAATCATAACGGTTTTACAAATGTGCAGGACATCCGAAATTTCCTAAGTCAGAATTGTCATATTGTTATGAAAGATGTTTAGAATGATCCTTGAGGAAATGAAAAACAGAAATTTTTGCCCCTCTTAGATGAGACTTTTTTTAGACCCTTCTTTTTAACAGGAGGTTTAAAGTTGCTTAAAATATTAAAGTTTGTTATCCATATGTCTGCAGGAGGAAGTAGCTAAGAACTTGCTAGCCGAATTTAACTTGGGATGTGATGTTCACCAAACTGAGCATGTGTACCGAGTCTATGTGGCCACATTCCTTGGGTTTGGTGGCAACGCTGCTCGGCAGAGGTACGAAGACAGAATATTTGCCAACACAATTCAAAAGAACAGGTAAAGCGCCTTCCACTGCTCAACAGTCACTTGCAAACCTAGATCTCTCCTTGTAAAAACAAATCCGGGCACAGCAGGGAGAACTCAGTCAGCAAACACGTGTTGGCACTGTGAGCTTTTTATTCCCCACTGGCTGAGCAGGGAGAAGGAATGAGAGCACACCGGGTCCTGCTTCCTGTGCTCCGTCCTGCCATGCTCTAAAGGAGTCTTGCTCTCTCTCTTTCTCTCAGACGTGCATCTTACCTGATGAATTAGGAATCTCACCATCAGACTGTAGAATAGTTTTGAGCCCTGGGTAATGCTGTTCATGATTGCAGAGTCCTTGGGAAACTCAGTACGTGGGGCACTACTGGTGTCCTGCAGCTAGCCTGTGCAGTTGTCATTGCTGAGAAGACTGAAATATGTCATGTTCTGGAGACTCTGCAGATAACCAGCCCGTGCCGCTATACAGTAGATAGGAACCTTGGTGAAGGGAGTTACAAGAGCAAGAAGTCAGAGTTAGTGGTTTTTAAATATTTTTAGAAGTGAAACTTTAAGAAACAAGCATATACAGAATTCTGGGATAGAAAATATGTAAAACAAAAGCAGTTTAAATTTATAAGTTTAAGTATATAGCAATTATTTATTTGCGATTAGTCCATAAGAACAGAAGAGCTATTTGGATGAATAAAAGAATCTGAATCTAGGGTTGTGAAAGATAATCCTATTCGTGACTGTTTTATGTGTTTTGATGAAACAGTTCTGAGGAGAAAAATACTAATTCATAGAGTGAAATGATGGTATATTTCCTTGATCAATATAATCTTAATAATACCTTTTATAATAGTTTTATAATAGTTATAAAATAGAGATATTTTATAAATGACATTTTAATCATTTTTTCAGAAGGTGGAAGAAGGTATTCATGGAACACCTTCTTTTGAAACCCTGATTTTTACTAATTGGTTTTAATGTCAAAAAGCTTTGTATACTGAACAGTTCAGTGGTACTTCTTAATTTAGATGTAAGATAAGTAAAAATAGTTGCATGAAGTATATCTTTGACTACTCTTGGACTTTTATAATAATTATAAATGTTTCATACATCATGAATCGACCCTTGAAATGCAATTTATTTCCTTGCCATTCATGGTGGTGATTGATTTTTTTAAGTTAAACAAACATTTTATGGTAAAGACCTTAATTTATTACATCTAAGTGCATTATGAGTAACCCTGAGGAATATACGAGTTGTCAGTTGAGTGGAAAGTAAAAACCTGACTTACTGTCAGTGATGCATCTAGAATTCTGGCGATATAACTCTAGCAGTTAAACACCTCTTAGGCCCATGTGACTTTATGGTATCCAACACCAACATCATTTCAGTTTTTGTAAGCTCTTTTATGTTTCTCAGTTGCTTGAAAGTATGTACACACAGTGAGATGACAGATATTAATTCCCAGAAATTTCACTGGAAGTAATAAGCCTGGTGAATTTCAGTGAGCAAAGTTAATGTTTCTTCTCTACAGTACTTCTCAGAGCCTCTAGTACATGCAATAGTGTATTTTCCTAACTTAATTATCCTGGAATGCTTGTGTGTTCCCTGCAGGACTTGTGATCCACAGAACAGACTTAAACACTGGCTTGCAGCCACTTCTTTGGAACAGTTTCCTGTAGGATTCATGATAAAGTCTCTCTTTGTGCCATAGGCTCCTGGGTAAACAGACTGGTCTGACGCCTGATGCTCCATACCTGGACCCCTGCCTACCCCTAGACATTAAAGATGAAATCCAGCAAAATGGACAGACCATATACCTACGAGGGACTGGAGACTTTGACCTTTGTCGAGAAACTATCCAGCCATTCATGAATAAAACAAATGAGACACAGACTTCCCTCAATGGGGTCTACCAGCCCCCAATTCACTTCCAGAACAGTGAATTCTATGGCTTTTCTGAATTCTACTACTGCACCGAGGATGTGCTACGCATGGGCGGAGACTACAATGCTGCTAAATTTACTAAAGCTGCAAAGGTAACCTTCAAAGAAACCATCTGCTACTGCATGCTTTTGAGGGACCAGTGTGGATGGTGACAGCTATGTCCTCCACATTCAGAGCATGTTCCCTTTGGTTGAGAGGAAGTTAAATAGTCTTAGCAGAAGTGAAAAATGTACTGTCAGCTCACTTGTGCCCACCACTGCCTTAGCTACTGTGGTTACCTGTGACCTCCAGATTATAGTCTTTCCTGTTGTCGTTCTGCTTCATTGCATCTGACAGCTCCTGCTGCATTTCCACATCCCGAGCTGCCAGGACACTCCTGTTCTCTTATTCTGTCTGCCTTCCTGATAACCCTTAAGCCTTGCGGATGTCAGACTCGCACCCTTGGCCCCTGATCTTCAGTTCTTGGGTGATGTCACCCATGTTCGTGCTTTGCCACTGCCTCTCAAGAAGCAACTCCAGGCCTCACCCTGCCCAGTTGCCTGCTGGATTTCACACTCCAAGCAAACTCCCCATTTCTCCCCATTCTGTTCCCATTGTGCTGTCTTGGTTAATGGCATTATCAACCATCCAGTCCCTCTGCCTGGAACCTAGGATTTATGCACTTCTCCCTGTCTCTCATTCTTCCCTCCCTATATACCCCCTTATAATCCATCCTCAAGCGTGATATTTTATCTCACAAATATGTTTCAAACCCACCTCAGAGTCTAGAGCGCTTTATACTCCAATCATATCAAGCAGCTGTTAGTTTCCCTCACATTCTTTGCTACTTCTTGTCTGTGTCTTGGTTCATGGTGTCTCCTCTGCCTGAAATGCCTGTGCTGACCCCTCACCACAGCTGCACCATGTTCCCTTGTATCCCTGTCGCACACCCGGGCAAGTTTCACTGCTCTTTTAGCCTCAGTTTCTTCATCCTTTAAATAGAGGTCAGGACAGTAGCCATGCCGAGGAGTTTGGTATTACATTCAGAAGCACTTACACAATGCTCAGTAAATACTAGCTATTAATATTATTACACACATCTTCAGGAAAAGGTGGCACATCTTCCCCTTCTCTTAAAGACAAAGTCTTTCGTAATCATCACTGTCTTCCCAGTACTTTGCACAGCGTCCTCCACAGACATAGGTACTTAGGTTCAACTAGCTAAAATACTGCTTCACTTTTCCAAAACTTCATGCCTGTACCAGGCAATCACGGAGGGAGAACCTAAACAGTTTTGGAGAGGTTGGTTGTGGGCAGTGAAGTGCTCTTTAACAATACCCTCGGCGTAATTTTAAGGTAAAGAACAGCATTGTATTTGCTAATCAGTAAGTATTCACTGAGCATATCTCTTTGTCTTGCATTCATTATATAAGTTAAGCCTATGTGTTTCTGAATTGGAAGGATGTACTTGTTATGAATATGAGTTTGGTAAACGATTTATAAGTTGAAAAGTTTTTATTAATCTTTTACTAATGATGTATTTTGGTATTGGAAATTCTTTCAGGATTATTGTGCAACAAAGTGGTCAATCTTGCGGGAACGCTTTGACCGAGGACTGTATGCCTCTCACGCTGACCTCCATAGGCTTAAGTAAGTACTACAAGGCCAAGGCCTGGGTGTTCCTAAGAAAACATTAATTCACTATTAGCTTGCCACGCCCTGGCCTCAGTCTACCTCCTTATCCTCCCTTGTCACTGTTCCATCTCATGTACCTTTGCTCCTTTCCAATGGGACAAATACTTGTGCCCAGACATAACCTTCTTTTCCCCCCTCCTCACTTTTGCTGTCCCTTACCCCTGAAATTCATGAGTTGATACCTTTGCTTGTTCAAGTCCTGTCCAGACATCCCGACATCAGGCAGGTCAGGCTGCCCTTTTCCAGTCTTCCTCTGCCCAGATTCCACCCCTCTTTCTTTGAGTCTCTAGAGCACTCATACCCCTCTCTCCTGCATTTATCATGTTCTGCTTTGTTTTATAGTTATTTGCTGCTTTTTAAAAATCCCTGATATTATAAGTCACTTAAGTGTAGAGACTGTATCTTGTAAATTATTGTACTTATTATTTGCTTAACACAATGCTTTGTAAAAAAATAAGCCCCTAATAAATATTTAGAATCGTATAATATCAGAGCTGAAAAGGACCTTCATACCTTCTCATTTTATATAACAAAGAAACTGCAGTACAAAGAGGTTGGGACTTGCTTAGTATTTATTCAGTGAAGAAATGACAGAATGCCTGAGGGGGAAAATCTGTCATGGTAACATACTAAATTATACCAAGACCAAATTTCGTGAGCTCATTGATTTAGGCAGGTGAACTGCTTGGTGTGGTGGGACGGGGGACACGCACCGAGTACATCAGTGTGAAGCACACACAGTTGGTGTGGCTGCCTGCAGAGCCTAAGGAAGCCTGTGCACCAGCGCTGGTCACAGAGGGAAAGACCATCTCCATGGTGCCTTTTGGACAAGTGACTCAGCCTGACGTGTGTTTGTGCTTGCTGTTCGTAGGTATCAGTGCTTCAAATCCGCCTGGATGTTTGAGGTGTTCCATAGGGGTTTTTCGTTTCCTGTCAACTATAAAAACTTAAAGACCGCCTTGCAAGTTTACGACAAGGAGGTTCAGTGGACCCTGGGAGCCATCCTTTACAGGACCCGCTTTTTACCCTTAAGGTAGGGCTATGAGTTTGGTAATGAGAATCAAAAAGCTTCTTTTAAAAATATACAGAAAAAATTAGCCAGGCATGGTGGTTCATGCCTGTAGTCCCAGCTACTCGGGAGGCTGAGGCAGAAGGATTGCTTAAGCCCAGGAGTTTGAGGTTGCTATGAGCTAGGCTGATGCCACGGCACTCTAGCCTGGGCAACAAAGTGAGACTCTGTCTCAAAAAAAAAAAGCTGCTTTTCTGCAGTGACAGTGCCTCACGGCGACTAGGGCTTGTGGGTATTTGGGTTCTTGGTGTGAGACCTGCCTTGGTGGCAGAATGGAGAAGTCAGCTGCGCTTGCCTCCGGTCTCCACATTTTCCCACAAGCACTTCCTACCCACCCTGCCCATCCCATACTACAGTAGCACCTTTGTGCTGCTGTCCTATGTTTGATTATTCTCAACTGTCTGCTTCCCAACCCTGCATGAGGGTTAATTCAGGGGTCTTTAACCTTTGCGGCTTTGAACCCCTTCTCATAATACTGTTTTTAAATGTATGAGTACGTAGGATTACAGAGGAAACATTGTGTTGCGATGCATTTATCAAAGTACTACAGAAAACTAATGTGTGGTACACAGTCTTTTATGTTCTTTATTAACACATTAAGTAGCAAGATCTGACAGCAGAACTAGCACTCTTTGTGAGTGCAGTGTAGTAATGAATGACACGTGGAGGTTTCGATGACACCATGTGTGATGTGAACAATCCGTGGTTTTAGTTAGGAACTGAGTCACATGTCCTGTCAGTACTGCAGTGCCTATGTTTACAATCAAACAAAATGCTAAATTTCAGTGAGAGACTGGTTAAATAAAGACCTTTCAAGTTCACCATTCGAGTCTGCAGACCTGGCTGCCAATTGACCCTGTGCCAAGGACCCTGGTTAACTGATAAATGCCATAATTAGCTCTTCTCCAGCCAGGCTAACTATAAAAATTGTGAGAGTGGGTACTACAGGTCACAGACTTGTGGTTTGATTCTACACTGACTCCTGTGTATTAGAAACCCTCACAGTGCTTCTAGATTTCTCTGGTTTTTGCTAACCAGGTTATAGTGATGGTACCTGCTGTGGACTTCTGAGTACAGTTTCACGTGTGACTGCCTTAATACTTACAGGTACCCCACATGGGGCTATACTGTCCTCCACAAGTAAGGAAAATGAGTCTCAGCCACCAGGGTCAGGTTTCAGTCCGCAGAGGGGGGACCCACACACCAGGCCCTCTCACCCCATCCTCTATACACTGTTTCCGCCATTCCCTCACTCACCTGTGCCGTTTGTTTCTGTTGTTTGGTCTCCACATGGGCAGAGACATCCAGCAGGAGGCTTTCCGGGCCAGTCACGCTCACTGGCGGGGCGTCTCCTTTGTGTACAATCACTACCTGTTCTCTGGCTGCTTCCTGGTGGTCCTGCTGGCCATCCTGCTCTACCTGCTGCGGCTCCGGCGCATCCACAGGCGCACTCTGCGCCCCAGCTCCGCTGCGGCACTCTGGATGGAGGAAGGCCTCCCCTCCCAGAAGGCTGCGGGCACCTTATGAACCACTGTTAGATGCTCCAGGAAGACTCTCAAGGAAAAGCCATTTTTGCCTCAGGGTTTCTCCTCTTTATTTTCCTACGGTTCTGTTTTTCCTTTCCCTTTTTGTTCCTTAAAACAAAAGCAAAATCCAGTGTTTGTAAGCCTTGCTGTCCATTACAGCTTTAAATTGAGGAACAGGGAAAAGGGAAATTCACTTGATTTTTGCTGCGTGGGACATCTGCCAAAAACTAACATGATTTGGGGGTTTTCTTTAAGGTATGTTACATTTTAAATAATGCACTTTGATATTGGAGGGACATGGAAATGGTGCGATCTGTCTGTGGCGACAGAACAGAAGAGTGATACTTTTAAGAGAACCAAAAAACATATTGACTGAAATTATAATTTTTTCCTCTATCTTGAAAACTCTAAAGAGGTTGATGTTTAATTTTTATTTATTGTTCATGTTTATCACTGTATATGTTTTCTTTGCAGTTTTAAAAATTTAAAACCATTTATTTCCAAAATAAAGAAATACAGGCACCCAGAGGTAACCATTTTAAAAATTTATAGTGAAGAGATGTGAAAAATGTGAACTATTGACTAGAGCTTTGTGTGTTGATGTGGGGGCGGAATGCTAATGAACCTGAATGAGGGAATACAGTGCTGGTTCCTTTAAAAACACACTTCAGAATTTACTATTTCATTGTATTTAGAAAAATCCTTGTTACTGTCTTGTCATCTTTTCCTGACCACAGGTAATTACTTATGTTATCCCATATTTCAGTGGCCTTAGACTACTTTGTTTTTGAAAGAATTGGAAAATGCATCAAGTCTCACTGATTTTATTAGAACTAGAGCTGGTTGGTACTCCCAGTCACTTCACAGTTTCTTAGCAGTACATTTTTGCTTGTTTAATTGTGCGCCAATCTCTCCCAACTTCCAGGTGGTATTCCGTCTCCTCCGGCCTCTTGATTAAAAGTTGTCTCAGCAGTTTCATTTGGGAGACCCCATGCGTAGCTTAGCAAGTTCTCTTTATTACTACTATAGCCAAGGCTGTGGCTGGCAGTGCCTCTCTTAATCCAGACTAAGGGAAGAGTCTGAATCTAATATAAGAAATAAACTCACATTTTGAAGAAAACAAATCTGACATTTTCAGCAAAAAACTGAAAAGAACTACTGAATTGGCATATGTGAGATTGGTTGTTTTTCACCTATTCATTTAGTTTAGAAGTTTTGGTGATTCTCATACATAGTTTTTTTTAGATGAAGTTCTTTGCATGTGTCTGCGTGTGTGCACATGTATGTATACATGTGCTATTTCCTAACTCCAAAGCAATTAAATTCACATACTTGGTACCAAATTAGTACCCATAAGTGGGGTCACTGCTATAACAGATACCTGGAAACTGTGGAAGCAGCTTTGGAACCAGGCAATGGGCAGAGACGAGAAGAGTGTGAATGCACAGGCTGGAAAAAGCCTGTTTTGCTGTGAACTGATTGTTAAGAGTGATTCTGGTGAGGGCTCAGAAGAAAAGACTAGGGGACGTCTGCCCCAGGTGCAGCTTGACCTGCCACTTCAGAAGGTACAAGTCATAAAGCTTGGTGGTGTCTAAGGCTCCTGCTTCTGCAGACAAGAGCTGTGGGGGCATGACTCCCTCCACCTAGATTTCAGCAGACATTGTGAACAGCCAAGGGTCCCAGGCAAAGACTTGTCACAGGCAAAGTAGTCCAGCCAGAGCCAGTTCTTCTCAAGTAATGCCTTGGAGAGCTGCAGGACCTTGTGATCGTACAGGTTATCAGTCTCCTTGAAGGGTGGGTTCTGCCTGTTTGATCTCATTTGCATCATATTTGCACCTCACGGTCCAAGTCGTAAGAAAGGGGGTGAGCTTCTGGCTCCATAACAAGTTGATCTTGGCCACCCAACTCCCCCCATTCCCAGCTGGAGCCATGGCTCTTTGGCAGATACTACAGGGAGCTGGGGACCAAACCACAAGAGGTCAGCAGCAGGATAGAAGGAAGGAAAGAAAGGGGCTGCAAAGGGGCAGAGAGGGCAGATGGGGACCCAAAGGAGTTGGGAGGGAACACCTCTGCTGGGTCTGGGCATAAAGAAGTCTCAAAGCACACACATCAAGGTCCTGAAATGGGCTGAGAAAAACCTCACTGCTTCAGCTGAGAGGGAGTGGTAGATTTTCCAGTTTTAAAGAAAAGTTGAAGAATTTGCAAGAAACACCGTATGTGGCCTATAAAGCTTAAAATATTACAGAAAAAGTTCACTGGCCCTGCAAGAGCAATCCAGTTCAAGAAAGAATATAGACAATAACATCCTCTTAATTCAAGAACGCAATTACCATTTGTGGACACAAAAAGATGGGCAAGAGAAGTAACCAAACTTCAACCTTAAAATATTTGTTTATGCAGCAGAATTTCACCTCTTATTTTTGATTCTAGATGATTTTCAAGATGAGTTTTCTAACCAGGAGACCTGGCCTCCTCAAAGTAAAATTTTAAAAGTGCTATTATTTAAGGGAGCTCATTATGTTGTATTGAGATGTCTGCAGTCACAGCATATCACGTTCCAAAGAAGGTCTGTGTAATTTCTCAGAGCTCTGTACATGCCACACAGGGGAAGGTGGCCAGGTGCTGTCTCCGAGTGATGCAGAGGTGGGCGAGAGACAGGCAGGGAGGAGCTTAATTCGAGAGGAAAAGGATTCATCTCTAGCGCTGACCACAGAGGCGGTAAACTCTGTGTACTTATAATAAAAAGCAAGAGAAATAGGACTGGGAACTTGCTGAAAGCATTGTCAAAGCAAAACATTCTGTGTTAAATCTCAGTAGAAATAATCCAACAGTAAATTCTTATGTTCTTTAGGCATATCATGTACTTCTCCTTTTTAAACCTCCAGGGAATATTCTCAAAGATGTCACAGTTCCTTTAGGGACATTACAGGGAAAGACAGACACCTGGATTTGTACCAGTAGTTTTTGCCTGCTTTCACCCCTGTACTGCTAGTGTTAGGCAGTGCTTCCCGGCCTGGAGGTAGAGTGAGGATGCTGCTGGTGGCCAAGACCAGTGACCTGGGGACTCTGCCTGGCCAACCTGAAAGCCGAGCACTCTTTCACCACCTTTTTCCACACCTGTGCACTCTAGAGTGACCAAGTCTCAGTGCACAGATATTTACATCTTAAACTCAGGCCAACATGGAACAGTCTTCCTTATAACGAGCATGTGTCACTTAGCAAGAAACTAAAAGAGGCCGATGAGTTTTCCAAGCTTTAAAAAAACATCAGCTTTAGAATTCTGTGCAGTAATGTGCAATGCAGCAGAATTACCTTAAAGTAAATTATTTATTTCAGTATTTTGTTTCTTATGACATTAAGTTTCCCTTTGAATAATGAATGATGTGATCAACCAAGGAGAATTCTTCGTTCTGTTGCTAAAATTGTATTTTACAGTTAGGAATGACAAGAACTAAGGGAACATTGAAAATTTTTTTGTTTAAGTGATGTTTCCAACTGGAAATAAGAATGATTCTCTTGAAAGGTCATTGTGGTGCCTGTCACTTTCTGTATGTGGCAGCCTCACATTGCTACATTTGCACACGGGTGGTTGTTGAAAATCAATAAAATGAAAGTTCATCTGATGGCCTGGGGATGTGTGAGCTTGCTTGCTTGTGATTTAGATAGATTTCTCTCTGGTGTTTGGATCTTCTTACTCATTAGATTGATTAGTTGAACTTGAGTCTAAATTCAGTAAAATAAATTGAGTCTGACTGCCCACTCTGTTTGCATTTGTTGCATTGGATGTATATGCTCTGAAGCACAGCTGTGCGGGTTGTAGAGGGAGGAGTCTGTGCACTCCGCAGCACAGGAACCAAATATTTCACAAGGAGAAATATTGGCCAACCTGTGACATTCATCAACAATAATTGCCAAACTGAGACAGCTATTTATAAGGTCATTTTAGAGTACCTATTTATGTATAGACAAGAATAAGAAAATTAACCAACTTTTATGTATTTACTCTTAGAAATAATAACAGCAAATGCTGACTTTAAACTACACCACTTGCAGTTCGAGCTAAGCTTAAAGCCTTTGGCTTATTTCCAGAGAATTATGAATCTCATTATGAATGTTACTAGTAACTGATAGAGAAGATCAAATTAGAAGCAAGGCACCTTTTCAGCTGTTCAAGAATATATAGTGGTTGTCCTGGAGAGGAAGGTAGGCCTTAGCCATACCTGAAAGTAGATGACAGATGGAAAGGGAAGGGGACCAGCTGTTAGGAACAACAAAAAAATAAAGTGAGGTGCTAAAGCCATTGCCCACCAGAAGAACAGGTTAATAATTTTAACATAGAACTTTCTTAAATGATTTTTGAGGCAGTGCAATAAATACAGGTCTTTTTGCCTGAGGACAGTACATTAAGATGGCAGAAGACATCTAAATGTTTATTCCACTTGGTGGAAGAGAAGTGCGTCCTTATTTCCAACAGCAGATCCGAAAGGCCTGGTTCTGGTTTTGTGTTTGTTTTTAGTTTGTTTCCATCTGTCTCATGAATTTGGAATGCACTCTGGGTGTTTTTTCTTTTTTTCCTTTGAGATCCTGAAATGCTAATGGTTTATACAGAGGGGGTTGCTGTAGGCTGCCCCACACTGGTCTGAGGACAGAGAAGTGCAGGTCACCTCTGCTAGTGTCAGACTGTCTTCTTTTGGAAAGGTCATCAAGACACAAAGGGATGCCTGCTAACCCCAAACACATCTTGGCAGACTGGGCCCCACCTTGTCTGGGAGCCTGTTGACCTCAGCTCCTGACCCCAGCTCCTCTTAACAGGCGAAGAGTTTATCTGTTGATGTGTTTTCTTTTGCTTTTAGCAAGGTTAGTTCCCCTCCCCTGTGTAGTCTTGCCTCTTTCTATTAATGCATCCATTAAGGTTGAGAAAGACCTGCTGCAGGGGAAACCAGTGGGCACTTTGGCCTTAGATCTTTGCCCTTCACCCTTGATCCTGTTTGGCAGGTGAATGACATCCGGGCTCCAGACTTCACAGCCACTTAAACATTTCTGTCAACAGCCTGAGTCTGTTGTGTGTACGAGACCCAGACAAGAAGACCGGGCCTTGGCTTGTCTGCCCTGAGAAAAGTACTGAAAGCTCATCACAGGACCTAAGGGGATAGGCACATAGACAGGCTTCTGTATACACATAACTTCAGTAAATGGAAGCAAGAAGAGATTTTTTTTTCCTCCTGTTAAATCATCAAATAAACATCTCAGGCATCTTGTGTTGTTTTGTCTGGGAGTGGTGGGCGGGGGGACTGGGATTTCATTGGCCCCTGTTTGAGTGGAAGGGGAGAAGTCAGTCTGTAGCAAGGTCCCCAGAGAAAAAGGAGCACCTTTCCCATTCCAGCATGAGACTAATTTTGATTGTGTAGTTTCTGAAAAGTACCCGTGCGGGATCTTGCTGTCCTCTCAGGTCCATACCTGGTAGTGTGAATTCCACCTCTCACCCTTTGTTGCCTTCGTGCTAACCAGCGTTCCAAGTGGGCAGTTCTGGAAAGAGTGACCATCCTGTTCTTGCCTCTGCTGACACAGGACTGAAACTCGAGGAGCCACGCACAGCACTTTGTTCTCTCTAGATTTCACCTTCTCCATCTGGCACAGATTTTAGATTTTAAGAGGTTGAGACACTTAAACGTTTTAACAGATTCTGCTCAGCTTTGTAAAGTCCTTTTATTCTGGTCATGGCAGCACAATAGAATTTTTTGGAACTTCCTCATTCTTTATAATGTTTAAATTACTCTTAAAAAATTCTCTTCAGCCTTCCATGGTGCTATTGTTCCTCAGTGCATTGGCTTCATCCCTGAACTTCCTCAAACAAGGGTCGTGATGGGTCCTGTGTCTACTTGCTTCATTTCTGTATTTATAACTAAATAAAACAACTTGTACGTAGTGTTTCATAAATATTTGTAATCTAATCAAAATCTGGTTTCTTAAGCTGGGCGCGGTGGCTCACGTCTGTAATCCCAGCACTTTGGGAGGCCGAGGTGGGAGGATCACTTGAGGTCAGGAGCTTGAGACCAGCCTCAGTAAGAGCGAGGCCCCCATCTCTACTAAAAATAGAAAAATTATCTGGACAACTAAAAATATATAGAAAAAATAAGCCGGGCATGGTGGCACGTGCCTGTAGTCCCAGCTACTCGGGAGGCTGAGGCAGAAGGATCACTTGATCACAGAAGTTTGAGGTTGCTGTGAGCTAGGCTGACGCCATGGCACTCTCGCCCGGGCAACAGAGTGAGCCTCTGTCTCAAAAAGGAAAAAAAAAATCTAGTTTCTTGGTCAAATCACCTTTAGGTTTCTAGAATCTGTAAAATAAATCTTTAAAAAATCTCTTATTCTCCATCTTTGTTGTTCTTTGCAGATTGCAGAGTTTTGTATGGTTTTAAAACCGTCTGCAATGTGCTGTGGAGGGTGAGATGGAACCACAGGCTTTCTTAGCCATCTGTTCACTTCCCTCCACCACAAAGTTTGCTAAGGGAGTGTGGCATTGTAAAGCTGTATTTAGAAAAACTTATGCAAACCAAATTTACTTCAAGTGGTTTCCTTCCTTCTTACCTGTCTGGGCTCGCAAAAAGGAAAAAGAAATCCCAGAATTACCAGAATTAGGTAGTGTTAATTTAAATAGTAAGTGACTAAAAAAAAATGAGAGTCACACTCAATTGAAGTTTATAAAGCCAAGATGTGAGGACAGACCCTGGAAAAGCACAGCCCACAAAGCAACTGTTGTGGCCTGGGATCTCTGCAAAAGGGTTTAAGGATTTCACATTAAAAGGAAAAAAAGAATACAGAAAAATGTGGGAGTGATGAAGGAGGTGAGCAGTGAGACAGCTAGTGGCATTCTTGTGAAGTTCTATTCCATGCTCAGTAAATCTACATAAGATGAACAATCAAAAAGGGGATAGAGGAAATAGTCAATGTTGTGATCTTCTTGGGGTGGGTGGAAGTGTGATTGATCTTATCCTGTCCTTGGTTTGCATCTGTGAAGATAAACTCCTGATCGACATTTAAGAGTTTATTTGGGCTACAGTCCTATGATTATAATTGACATGCACTTGTTTTATAGGGGCTGTATATCTTGAAGGGTTTTTTTTTTTTTTTAGGGCTGAAAGAAATCAGAAGTATTTTACCCCAGAATACATTTCTTTGACATATTTGAGATGGCTGTGGGCAAACAGGAATAATGCTACATTATTTTGGGGGATAAGCCAGGGGGGTGCTGTTTACATGCAGCCAGGCCCTGCCTGTTAGATCTGAGAAAGGTTTGCTAAGAGTCTAACACCCATAAGGGTCTGAATAAAAACATTTACCACCTGCTCTCCCTGAGGACTGTTACTGTGACACTGACCTGCATAACAAGAACTCCTTTATGACAGCCCCTTGTAGTCTGATCGTTTCCCTGCCTCTGCAGCCACACACGCACCCTCACCTTTGTCCAGCCATACTCAGTTATTGGGGGTTCCTGCATGCGCTGTGCTTTGCCAGGTGTATTAAGGCTGTTACTTTGGCTTCCAATGTTTTTCCTACATGGTCCACTCAGAAAGCTACTCAGCCTTTAACATTTAGCTCAAGTGTTACCTGTTTTGGGATGTATATTTCTTTCTTGGGGCCATCGTAACAAAGGACCACAAGCTAGGTGGCTTAAAACTACAGAAGTTTATTCTCTCACAGTTGTGCAGACTAGAAGTCTGGAATCAAGGTGTCGGCAGGGCCACACCCACTGTGAGACTGTAGAATCCTCCTAGTGTCCTGTGGTGGCCATCGATCCTTGGCGATCCTTGGCTTGCAGCTGCATCACTTCCATCTCTGCCTCTCTGCTCACGTGGCATTTTCCTCTTCTTGTAAGGACTACGTGTCATGCTGGATTGGGATCCGTCCTCATAATTCAACGTGATTACATTAGCAAAGATGCTATATCCAAACACGGTCACGTTCAGAAGTGTCAGAGTTGGCACCTGAATTGGAAGTCTTGTGTGGCTGAGTTCAGGCCATTCTCTCTGCCCCCTGGCATCTTTTCACAGTACTCGTCATTGGATGCATCTGTTTACATGCTCGTTATCCCACCCTCTATCCCACCTGCAAGACTGTGAGTTCTTTAAGCGCAGGGAGCACGGGTCCTCCTTATTCCCGTGTCCTCATGGCCCCACATCCTGCATCATTTGTAGTTAAGCGTCTGGCAAAAGAAGCTTAGCGCTCAGAAGGCCCCTCGCAGACCCGCCTCTGTCACTTCAAATGTGACCTCCAATGAGCCATTTTACTTTTCTGGACTTCAGTTTCCTCTCCTATAAAATGTGAATAAAATCTGCCATCATATGTTCCTCACAGAGGGGTTGAGGGGCTCAAATAAGCTAATGTGTGTGATGAATGCTCTTCAGAGCCACAGACGGCCATCAGTGCATGTAGGGGTAGTGTATTCATTCTTTTCCAGCCCTGGGTTTTATTTCCCAGCCCATGTTCCCTGACTCTGAGGCTCACCCACAGCCTCGGTCCTCTTGTCTAGACGCTTCCCCTCAGAGTCTGGCCGGGGACCAGCCAGCAAGCCCAAACCTGGTTGAGGGCAGCCCACTGCCTGCCACAGAGAGACATCGCCACCTGGTGGCCCCTCCCGACCTCCCTGAGACCGTGAACTGCCCATGCATCTTTTGCACTGTAGTCACAAGCTAAAAGTACTCATTTTATAGCTGGAAGTCCAGATATGTTGGGTGAACTGTACAAAGTGATGGAACCTATAAATATGAAGCTTTCTGCCACCTCTCACTTCAGCTCACCTGTTTGAGGGTAGCTATGGAGAAGTGGTAATATGACCAGTCATTCCTCTGGGTCACCTCTGTGCCTGGCCTGCAGGACTCCCCCCTCTGGTCAGTTTCAAAATACCCATAAAAAATAAACTCAACAACTAGACAAAGCACCATGATCAACAGCCCTGGGCTTTGTTCTAGGTTTTGATTTATAGACTCATATATGTCTAAACTAGAGGGGACCTTGGATCTGTCCAACCTCCTTGGTTCCTTAACCTGATGAGAAAATCCAAGTACAGGATCACAAAAAGGATGCACCCAAGAAATGCATGACCTGGATGAATCACTCAGGGTGCCTGCAGCAGTGCCAGGCAGGGTTCCCTTTTGGCTTGTCCTTCATATCTTCCCGTTCCCCTTCTTCTGGGCCACAGGGTAGGCATATGTTGAGTCTAGCCAATCAGAGAATCTCATTTTTTGGCCACAATGGCTAGCTCAGGGATAGGGCTGCAAGTCAAGCCAAGCCAATTCTGGTCCTCCCTGGAGTTGATGAAGATGTTGGGGAGAGAGGTGCTCTTTCAGTTGGATTTGCTGAGCTGGGATCATATTAGGTTGGAACTTCCAGGAGCTATCTTCCCTAGACTCGTGCAGAAGACTCTGGAAGAGAAGCCAACCCAGAGGAAGCAGAGCTGATAAGGTATTCTACATCAGCAGTACCCCCAAGGCTGTGCAGTGGGCAGCCCTGCCTCGCCACGTCATTTGAGTCCCTAGATCCATCCATGCTTCAATTCAGTCCACCCATGGCCTCCCCCGTTTCATGAGTCAGGATACTCTCTTTTGCTCAAGTTGGTGAGCTTGTGTGATTTGCACTTTCAATTGAGAAAACACTGATGACTACAGAGGTCCCCCTTCACACCTCTCTTGCAATGCAATTCTGGCACCAATTTCCTAGAATTAGGCCACACTTTGCAGGTGAAGGGCACAGTGTCCCCTCCCAACCCCATGACTGCCCTACTTTAGACACCAGCTGCAAGCCCAGGGTTTCCCAGGCCACCAGAGGAGTGACATCATCCAACAGCTATTTTAAAAGAATTACTCGGCTATGGTCCTGAAATTGACTGTTGGGGCCCAGGAAGAAGCAACATGATCAGTTGGGCGATTTCAATCATCCAGGTGAGAGAGGATAAGCCAGGAGGGGAGCAGTGGGATTCCAGAGATGCTATGTGGAGTGGAACTGAGGGGTTAAAAGTCAAGGAATCAAGCAGGAGGAAGGATGCCTTCGCTTTCCCCACAGGGAGAGTGCAGTGAGGCAGACTGGGGCAGAGGATCTGGCATGTAGTTTCAGACATAACACAAGGACAAGGTTAAGCCTCAAGTTGGATACAGGAGTCTGAAGGCTTTTAGAGAGGCCCAGGCTGGAGATATACATTTGGGAATTGGCAGCATTTAGGAAGTATTTAGAGCCAGGAGCCAGGATGAGATCACCCAGCCTTGAGCCCTGGAGCCCCAGACATTAAGAGGTCAAGGAGAGAAAAAACAAGGAATGCATTGCCATTTAAAAAAAAAAAAAAAAAGTGTTTACCTTCAGGGCAGGGAGGCAATTTGGGGAAGGAGAATGTGGGTTGTGAGAGTGTCTATGGCATGCCTGTAATATTCTAGTTTTTGGGCTGGTTGGTAATTATGTGGGTATTTGATATTAGTCCATGATGCTTATGTTTATGTTTTATTTGCTTTTTGTATATGTAGGTTATATTTCCTAATTTTGAAAGGGAGACAACTAGGAAAATGAGACTGAATTGCCAGAAACTATTTATGTTGGCCCACAGGAAGCTGCATTGTCATTGCTTTATTTTTATATTAATTATTAACTACAGCTCAGGGCCCTTCAGGGGTTCTTTAAGGGAAAATGATCCCAATTCCCAACCTGAAAGTGCATGGAAGAGGGGGACAGTGTTCAAAGACTGATGCTGCATTGGATGGAGGATCCCTTGATGTCTCCTAGCAACAAAGGGAGGTGTAGCGGGGTCGGGCCCCTGACTAGACTGGGTGCCAACTGCTGATTTTTCCTCTCTTAGCAATCATACGTCATAACCAAGGAGCAGTTTCCCCTCTTTAGAACACATTGACATTTAATTTGTTTTGGCATTCTTATAACAACTC